AAGAAGAGCTAACTATCCTAAATATATACGTACCCAATACAGGAGCACCCAGATTCATAAAACAAGTTCTTAGAGACCTACAAAGAGACTCAGATTCCCACACAATAACAGTGGGAGACTTGAACACCCCACTGTCAATATTAGACAGATCAACGAAAATTAACAAGGATATTCAGGACTTGAACTTAGCTCTGGACCAAGCAGACCTAATAGACAGCTACAGAACTCTCCACCACAAATCAACAGAACATATATTCTTCTCAGCACCACACAGCACTTACTCTAAAACAGACCACATAATTGGAAGCAAATGCAAAAGAACGGAAATCATAACAGCCTCTCAGACCACAGTGCAATCAAATTAGAACTCAGGATTAGGAAACTCACTCAAAACTGCACAACTACAGGGAACTAAACAACCTGCTCCTGAATGACCACTAGGTAAATAACGAAATTAAGGCAGAAATAACAAAGTTCTCTGAAACCAATGAGAACAAAGAGACAATGTACCAGAATCTCTGGGATATGCTAAAAGCAGTGTTGAGAGGAAAATTTACAGCACTAAATGCTCACGTCAGACAGTGGGAAAGATGTAAAATCCACACCCTAACATCACAATTAAAAGAACTAGAGAAGCAAGAGCAAACAAATTCAAAAGCTAGCAGAAGACAAGAAATAACTAAGAACAGAGCAGAACCAAAAGAGATAGACACATGAAAAACCCTTCAAAAAATTAATGAATACAGGAACTGTTTTGAAAAGATTAACAAAATAGACAGACTACTAGCCAGATTAATAAAGAGAGAGAATAATCAAATAGACACAATAAAAAATGATAAAAGGGATATCATCACTGATCCCACAGAAATACAGACTATCATCAGAGAATACTATAAACACCTGTATGCAAATAAACTAGAAAATCAAGAAGAAATGGATACATTCCTGGACCATACACCCTCCCAAGACTAAAGTAGGAAGAAGTCGAATCCCTGAATAGACTAATAACAAGTTCTGAAATTGAAGCAGAACCTCAAAAAAAAAAAAAAAAAAAAATTTCAACACTCCTTCATGTTAAAAACTCTCCTGAAATAGCCTACCAACCAAAAAAAAGCCTAGGACCAGACAGACTCACAGCCGAATTCTACCAGAGGTACAAAGAGAACCTGGTATCATTCCTTCTGAAACCATTCCCAACAACAGAAAAAGAGGGACTCCTCCCTAACTCATTTTATGAGGCCAGCAACATCCTGATGCCAAAACCTGGCAGAGGCACAACAACAAAAAAGAAAATTTCAGGGCGATGTCCCTGATGAACATTGATGTGAAAATCTTCAATAAAAGACTGACAAACTGAATCCAGCAGAACATCAAAAAGCTTATCCACCAGGATCGAGTTGGTTTCATGCCTGGAACGCAAGGCTGGTTCAACATATGCAAATCAATAAACGTAATCCATCACATAAGACAGAACCAACGACAAAAACCACAATTATCTCAATAGACACAGAAAAGGTCTCCGATAAAATTCAACACCCCTGGCCGGGTGCAGTGGCTCACACCTGTAACCCCAGCACTCTGGGGAGCCGAGGTGGGAGGATCACAAGGTCAAGACATCAAGACAATCCTGGCCAACATGGTGAAATCCCATCACTACTAAAAAAACAAAAATTAGCTGGGTGTGGTGGCACGCCTCTGTAGTCCCAGCTACTCGGGGGGCTGAGGTAGGGGAACTGCTTGAACCCGGGAGGGGGACGTTGCAGTGCGTGCCACTGCACTCCAGCCTGGTGACAGAATGAGACTCTGTAAAAAAAAAAAAAAAAATTAATTAAATAAAAAATAAAAATAAATTAAAAATAAATTTAAAAAATTCAACACCCCTTCATGCTAAAAACTCTCAATAAACTAGGTATTGATGGAACATATCTCAAAATAATAAGAGCTATTTATGACAAACCCATAGCCAGTATCATACTGAATGAGTAAAAGCAGAAAGCGTTCCCTTTGAAAACTGGCACAAGACAAGGATGCCCTCTCTCACCACCCCTATTCAACACAGTACTGAAGTTCTGGCCAGAGCAATCAGCCAAGAGAAAGAAAGAGTATTCAAATAGGAAGAGAGGAAGTCAAGGATATTCAAATAAGAAGAGAGAAAGTCAAATTGTCTCTGTTTGCAGATGACATGATTGTATATTTAGAAAACCCCACTGTCTCAGCCCCAAAACTCCTTAAGCTGATAAACAATTTCAGCAAAATCTCAGGATACAAAATCAATGTGCAAAAATCACAAGTATTCCTATACACCAATAATAGACAAGCAGAGAGCCAAATTATGAGTGAACTCCCATTCACAATTGCTACAAAGAAAACAAAATACCCAAAACCACAACTTACAAGGGACGTGAAGCATCTCTTCAAGGAGAACTACAAATCACTGCTCAAGGAAATAAGAGAGGACACAAACAAATGGAAAAAAATTCCATGCTCGTGGATAGGAAGAATCAGTACTGTGAAAATGGTCATACTGCCCAAAGTAATTTATAGATCCAATGCTATTCCCATCAAGCTACCACTGACTTTCTACACAGAACCAAAAAACACTACTTTAAATTTCATATGGAAACAAAAAAGAGCCCACATAGCCAAGACAACCCTAAGAAAAAAGAACAAAGCTGGAGGCATCATGCTACCTGACTTTATACTACAAGTCTATAGTAACCAAAACAGCATGGTACTGGTACCAAAACAGAGATATAGACAAATGGAACAGAACAGAGGCCTCAGAAATAACACCGCACATCTACAACCATCTGATCTTGGACAAACCTGACAAAAACAATCAATGGGGAAAGGATTCCCTACTTAATAAATGGTGCTGGGAAAACTGGCTAGCCATATGCAGAAAACTGAAACTGGACCCCTTCCTTACACCTTATACAAAAATTAACTCAAGATGGATTAAATACTTAAACGTAAGACCTAAAACTATAAAAACCCTAGAAGAAAACATAGGCAATACCATTCAGGACACAGGCATGGGCAAAGACTTTATGACTAAAGCACCAAAAGCAATTGCAACAAAAGCCAAAACTGACAAATGGAACCCAATTAAACGAAAGAGCTTCTGCACAGCAAAAGAAACTATCATCAGAGTGACCAGGCAATCTACAGAATGGGAGAAAATTTTTGCAATCTACCCATCTGACAAAGATCTAATATCCAGAATCTACAAAGAACTTAAAACAAATTTACAAGAAAAAAATAAACAATCCCATCAAAAAGTGGGCGAAGGATATGAACAGACACTTCTCAAAAGAAGACATTTATGCAGCCAACAAACATACGAAAAAAAAGCTCATCATCACTGGTCATCGGAGAAATGCAAATCAAAACCACAATGAGATACCATCTCACACCAGTTAGAATGGCGATCATTAAAAAGTCTGGAAACAACAGATGCTGGTGAGGATGTGGAGAAACAGGAACACTTTTACACTGTTGGGAGCGTAAATTAGTTCAACCATTGTGGAAGACAGTGTGGCGATTCCTCAAGGATCTCGAACTAGAAATATCATTTGACCCAGTAATCCAAATACTGGGCATACACCCAAAGGATTATAAATCATTCTACTATAAAGACACATGTGCATGTATGTTTACTGTGACACGATTCACAATAGCAAAGACTTTGAACCAACCCAAATGTCCTTTAATGATAGACTGGATAAAGAAAATGAGGCACATATACACCATGAAATACTATGCAACCATAAAAAATGAGTCCCTTTGCAGGGACACAGATGAAGCTGGAAACCATCATTCTCAGCAAACTAACACAAGAACAGAAAACCAAACACCACATGTTCTCACTCATAAGTGGGAGCTGAACAATGAGAATCCATGGACACAGGGAGGGGAATATCACACAACAGGGCCTGTTGAGGGGTGGGGGGCTAGGGGAGAGATAGCATTAGGGTAAATACCTAATACAGACGAAGGGTTGATGGGTGCAGCAAACCACCATGCCATGTATACCTATGTAACAAAACTGAACGTTCTGCACGCGTACCCCAGAACTTGAATTAAAAAAAAAAAGAAAAAAGAAAAAAATACTGCCAGAGAAAACAACTATAAATCATTTTATTTTCAATCTAAAAAGATAAATAAATAATAAAGAAAAAATAAATAAAACTCTGCTACAGTTAAGTTACTGCAGAAGGGATTCCTTTACCTGCACTTAAATGCAACCCCTACTGAAACCAGGATTCAAGGCTCTTCACAGCCTGCACTCAACCACTCCTTTTTATCTTATCTCCTGCTATTGTCTACACTTTCAGGCATCTGTGCTTATTTACATCATTTTGCACTGAATTCACTGTTTACCAAACACACAATGCTCTTCCATACCTGTGTTTACATATATGCGCTGCTGTTTTTATATGTTTTCACAGAAATGACGTTCCCATGCTTGGGTAAACTCTTACTTATTGCATAAGACCCAACTCAAATATATAGTGTTAACTTGCTCTTTCCTTTGTTACAACCATACTACTTTGTTCACACCTCCAGACGAGCACTTTTAATAGTTCACTGTAATAATTTACTTACATATCTGCTTCCCCAATTAGATGATTAACCTCTTCATTGCAGGGACTATGTGTTTTTCTTTATGTATCACCAATGTTTGCTTGGCACATGGTAAGTTTTCAATACATATTTTAATAAAGAATAAAACACAAACTGGATTTAACTGTTTTTTTGGTGTGTGTGTATCTGCCTTTGTCCCACCAGATATTATTCAATTATTTTTATTTTCCCTAATGTGCAACTTGTAAAAAATAAATGATAGTACTAATAGCATCTCAAGCAAATCCAGTTATCATGTTTTACTCTTCTTTATATTTCCTGTATGACCGAGCACACAACTTTTTATCTAACAGGAACTTAAAAATGTTTGAACTGACTTTATAGCACCAAGAAAAACACAGAAGACATTATACCTATAGAGGAAGACTGTGGACTAATCAGAAGGTCCTCTTGGACTTGCTCACTTCCTGGAACTGTCTGCTGATCACTCAGGGAACTCTGAGATGCACTGACAGGCTGGGACACTTCCTCATGGACCTCCTCGTCACTTAACCTTTCTACTTTGACCCGGACATCTTCTTCGGTACCTAAAGGCAAGGTAGTTTTTGTGCTCTCACAAGTCACATAATCAGCCATTCTTCTACCGGTCTCAGATGGGCCAGGTAATTCTAAAGTCCGGGTATTTTCTGCTTGCTTAACTTTCTCAGGCTGAATCCTTCGATCAATTCCAAAAGGAAAAGTCCAGGGAAAAGCTAAGGAAGAGTCAACTGGTTGGTTTCTATTTTCTGAGTAGGAAGCTGAAGAATTCAATACCTGGGGTGAACTTGTTTGTGTGCTACACTTTACAGGACTTTCAGGAGACATAACAATGTAGCTTTTGCGCTTTCTCCGGGATTCTCGGCAGACAGGAATCGTTCTTTCTACCACACTGCACTCTGAGGACACGGGAGAAATGCTCCCATCTCGAGAAGTAAAATTGCAGTTAGAATTATTTTCTTGTCCAGCATCTAGACCCTTTTCGGGTTGGCTGTTAGGTGTATTCCATAAAATGCTTGATTTCATGAACTCGGAGCAAGTGCTGGCAACACTGAACATTTGCATATAGCTGGCTGCTGCTAGAACATCAATAATATTTTCTGTGTTAATTGATAGAGTGGCTGTGTAAGCATACTCTAAAAGAGGTATAAAGCCAGTCACTGTAACATGATGCAGATCCAACACATTCTTGTTCTCATCCTCGGCTTGGCCTACAAGTTTGGTGCGAAAGAAATCACTGCAAGCTGCTAGTACCACCTTATGTGCCCGGAAGATTTTGTCCTGGACACGAATAGTGATATCACAAAAATGTCCATCATTTCGCAGCATATTTAGCTTTCCAAGCATTTCCTGGCTGTGGGAAGAGGAGCTATGAGTAAACGTTTTCACACCCATCTTTTACTTCCTCTTCTACAGATGCTCTTCAAGGATGCAAATGAATCAGAAATGTCCTAAAAAATACATAAAATAAAGCATTAATTGGTATTTTAGTAGTTTAAATAAAACGTGATTTAGATCATTTTCATGTGGCCACCGCACTAAATTAAAAAGCTGAAAGATGGTAGTGAGAGAGAAACTTCAAGGTAGGAACTGTAAAGAAACATATTCTCCTTATCTGCCTTCCGAATTGTCCAACCAATGAAGTCTGTGAACCAATGTTTTTTTTTGTTTTGTTTTGTTTTGAGACAGAGTCTCGCTCTGACACCCAGGATGGAGTGCAGAGGAGTGGTCTTGGCTCACTGCAACCTCCGCCTTCCGGGTTCAAGCAATTCTCCTGCCTCAGCCTCCCGAGTAGCTGGGATTACAGGCATGCGCCATCATGCCTGGCTACTTTTTGTATTTTTGTAGAGATGGGGTTTCACCATGTTGGCCAGGCTGGTCTTGAACTCTTGATCTCAGGTGATAGGCCCGCCTCGGCCTCTCAAAATGCTGGGATTACAGGCGTGAGCCACCACGTCCGACCTGTGAACCAATGTTTTAATGAGCTGCAGGCTGCAACAGTTTGTAAACAGTGACAATTGCAGAGTGTCTTCTATGTACCAGACAGTATTTGAAATGTTTCACATTTAATAATTAATTGATCATCATCGTATCTCTGTCAGTAGGCATATTATCATTCCTGTTTCTAAATGTGAGCATGCAGCAGGCAATGCCAGTGTAAACACTAAACAATCCATTACATAAGCATCCCTGTTCATGTTTTATGCAGGTAAATGTATAGAGGAAAAGAAAGATGGGAAAAAGGAAAAGGAAAGAAAAAAAAACTCAAAAGATTTCAAGATGAATTTTAAAAGGTTGCCAGGTGTGTGGCTCACACCTGTAATCCCAGCACTTAGGGAGGCCAAGGCAGGCGGATTGCTTGAGCTCAGGAGTCTGAGACCAGCCTGGCCAAAATAGCAAAGCCCTGTCTCTACTAAAAGCACATAAAAATTAGCGGGGTGTCGTGGCATGGGCCTGTAGTCCCAGCTATTCAGGACGCTGATGTGGAAGGATCATTTGAGGCTGGGAGGTGGAGGTTGCAGTGAGCTGAGATTGCACCACTGCACTCCAGCCTTGGTGACAGAGCAAGATTCTGTCTAAAAAAATAAAAGTCACAGACTATTATAACTTGAGAAGACACAATGATCAATTTGGGACTGTTCCATGTCAGACTTCTCTGATCCAAAGCAGTCAGGTAAAGCTACTGAAATAATTATCTTGACCATAATTAGTGACAGAAGTTCAAATGTAAACTGAGTGCTCCACATACTCTTCCTGAAGTCAAGTGACCACAATGAGGCACTAGACAGCCAGGGACTGGTGTACGCAAATCATCATTTAACATATTTGCTGATTTAGGTCTCACAAAAATGAGATGAAGAGGAAGAAAATGGGAGGGCTATATATGAAGTGTTTTGTTCATTTATTGCATCCCAAGAAACCAGCTTTTAAAGCATGGCCTTCAAGAGTGCTTACTTTGGGATCATGTGGTTGAGGGAAGAAACATGCTTTCAGAGCAAGTGAATTAGTTATAATCCAGAGACCATCTGCATGAACAAAGGTGTGAAGGCAAGAAATTAAACAGCATATTTGGAAGACATGTGCATCAGAGTATTAAAATGAAACCATTTCAATCTTGAATAGGCTCCAAACAATAGATAATGTACTACATTCTCAAATGAGGCACAAGGGCACCTTACACAAGGGGGTAGTGGAAAACTATTTTCAACCTTGAGTTACATCCACCTTCAATCATCTTCCATGTTCAAAGAGTAGATATGAAAAGGATTTTTGCTGAGAGTAACCAGTTTGTTGTGAGTTGTAAACCCCATTCTACTTCTCTGCTTACTTCCCTGCAGGGAAAGGGGCTTCAAGGCACACTGATCCTTTATCTCAGGTCTATGGAAAATACGTTACAACTGAAAAGACTCTGAAGGGCACGTAAGTCTGATTTAAACAACAGCCAAGGCCAAGAAGTACGCCTACTATCTCCCAACAGTATATAAAGGCAACACAGTGGAGTGGCTGAAAGCACAGACTCCAGAACCACAGTGCTGGTTTTGCATGCTGGTGCTATTTTTACCTGTGTGACCTTAGGCAAGTCATTAAACAAATCCTCTGTATCTTAACATATTCAGCGGTATAATAAATATAACACAACACACCTCATAGAGTTCTGAGGATTAAATGATCTAACACGTTAAGCGTTTAGAATAGTAACTAGCAACATAATCAATGCTACAGAAACATTAGTTGCTGCTGCTACTAACATTACTATCAAAGACCTTTTCTTCCTGGACGGGCCAGAAACCACAGTCAGCAAATGAAGAAGAGTGAAAGAAGAACGCTGGGGAGGAGAGAAAGAAAGAGGAGGCAAATCACACCCAACTCTTCAACTGCAGGCCTATAGTAGGCCTGAGGTGAGAAAGGAGGGAAAGCTTTCACTCTAAGTTTATTAGTTCTTGAAAAGATTGTTGGTATTTCCTGAAAGTGATCAGAACAGTTATTAAGACTTACTCTCCAGGAAGATGGAAGGAGAACTAACTCCACAGAACAAATAAAATGGCTCAAGAATACCTCCTATAAGTCATGCCTGTTCACATATACGGTACGAATTCTGATCTACTTAGAAGCACGGGATGAGAAGAAGGTGATAATGAGGAAATACATTCCATACCATGTATTTATCACATGCATTTCCCAATATGTCTGCGGAAACTCAGGCCCAAGATATGCTCCCCAACACAAACTTATACGGACAAATATATTTTGGATACACAGACACACTTCATCTTCTTGCACTTTGCTTTATTAAACTTTGCAGATACTGTCTTTTTTACAAATTGGAAATTTGTGGCAACCCTGCGTCAGCAAGTCTACTGGTGCCAGTTTCCACCAGCTTGTGCTCACTTCACGTTTGTGTCACATTTTGGTAATTCTTGCAGTATTTCAAACTTTTTCATTATAATTATATCTGTTATGGTGATCTGTGATCAGTAATCTTTGATGTTACTACTGTAATTGTTTTGGGGTACCACCAACTGCACCCATGTAAGACAGTGAACTTAATGTTGTGTGCATTATGACTGATTTACCCACTAGTCAGTCCCCCATCTCTCTCCTCCTCCTCAGGTATCCCTATTCCATGAAAAACAAGGATACTGAAATTAGACCAATTAATAACCCTACTGGCCTCTAAATGACTATGTGAAAGTAAGAGTTGCACATTTCTCACTTTGTTTTTTTTATGTTTTGAGACAGAATTTTGCTCTGTCACCCAGGCTAGAGTGCAGTGACACAATCTTGGCTCACTGCAACCTCCACGTCCCAGATTCAAGCAATTCTCCTTTCAGCTTACAGAGTAGCTTGAATTACAGGTGTGCACCACAAACCCCAGTTAATTTTTGTAGTTTTAGTAGAGAGGGGGTTTCACCATGTTGGCCAGCCTGGTCTCGAACTCCTGACCTCAAGTGATCCACCTATCTCACGTTTTTCACTTTAAATGAAATGCTAGAAATTATTAAGTTTAGTGAGGAAGGCATGTTGAGAGCTCAGAGAGCGCCTGAAAGCTAGACCTTTTATATCAAACAGCTAGCCAAGCTGTGATAGCAAAGTACATATTCTTAAAGGAAATTAAAAGTGCTACTCCAGTGCACGCACAAATGATGAGAAAGTAAAACAGCCTTATTGCTGACATGGAGAAAGTTTGCCTGGTGTGGACAGAAGACAATACCAACCACAATACTCCTTTAAATCAAAGCCTAATCCAGGGCAAGGCCATTAACTCTCTTCAATTCTATGAAGGCTGACAGGGATGAGGAAGCTGCAGAAGAAAAGTTGGAAGCTAGCAGAGGTTGATTCATGAGGTTGAAGGAAAGAAGCCATCTCCATAACATAACAGTGCAAGGTGAAGCCGCAAGTGCTGAGGTTGAAGCTGCAACAAGTTATCCAGAAGAGCTAGCTAAGATCACTGATGAAGGTGGCTACACTAAACAACAGGTTTTCAATGTAGACAACACAGCCTTACACTGGAAAGAGACTTTCACAACTAGAGAGAAGTCAATGCCTGGCTTCAAAGCTTCAAAGGACAGGATGCCTCTCTTGTAAGTGGCTAATGCAGCTGGTAACTTAACTGAAAGCCAATATTCATTTACTATTCTGAAAATCCTAGACCCCTTAATGATTAGGCTCAATCTATTCTGCCATGCTCTATAAGTGAAACAACACAGCCTGATGACAGCACATCTACTTACAGCATGGATTACTGCATGTTTTAAAAGCCCACTGTTGAGACCTACTGCTTACAAGATTGCGTTCAGTATATTACTGCTTTCCAACAGTGCATCTCGTCATTGAGGAGCTCTGATAAGGAGGTACATGATTGATGTTGCTTTCACGGCTGCTAATATAACATCCATTCTGCAGCCTATAGATCAGGGAGTCATTTTGATTTTCAAGTCTTATTATTTAAGAAACACATTTCAAAAGGCTAGAGCTGCCACAGATTCTGCTGATGGATCTGCACAAAGCAAAGTGAAAACTTTCTGGAAAAGATTCATCATTCTAGATGCCATTAAGACTGAGATTCATGGGAGGAGGTCAAAATATCAACATTAACAGGAGTTTGGACGAAACTGATTCCAGCCTTCATGATGAGTTCAAGACTTTCTTGGAAGAAGTAACTACAGATGTGTTGGAAACTGTAAGAGAACTAGAATTCAAAATGGAGGAGCCTGAATTGCTGCAATCTCATGATAAAACTTGAACAGATAAGGAGTGGATAAGCAAAGACCCTGCCTCTAAAACAAATTCAGAAAAGCTGGCAGAGGTTGGTTGGTTCATGAGGTTGAAGGAAAAAAGCCATCTTCATAACATAAAAGTGCAAGGTAAAGCTGCAAGTGCTAATGTCAAAGCTGCAAGTTATCCACAAGAGCTAGGTAAGATCACAATTTTTTTTTTAGAGGCAGGGTCT